TGTTTCTGGTGGTTCTGTTTTGTTCTTGAGGCAGGGTTTTACTCTAGCCCAGGCTGACCCTGAACTCATTCTATAGCATAGGCTGGCCTCAAACTGTTCCTATATCTGCCTCCTGAATGCTGAGATTACATGTGTAGGTCATCATATCCAGCTCCGGATTTCTCCTTTTTCAGTTTATTTTTAATATTTTATTTATTATTTTTATTTTCTGTTTGAGTGTATTGCCTGCATGTATGTGAGTGCACCCATGTCATGCAATGCCATGGAGGTCAGAAAAGGGCTTCAGATTTCCCTGGAACTGGAGTTAAGGATGGTTTGTAGCCACCATGTGGGTGCTGGGAATTGAACCCAGGTCTTCTGCAAGAGCAGTCAGTGTTCTTAACCGCTGAGCCATCTCTCCAGCCCCTCAGTTTATTTTTAAATTGTGTATGTGTGTGTTTCTGTCTGTGTCTGTGTGTCTGTCTGTGTATAGGTATGTGCACATGAGTGTGTAGGTTTGTGCACATGAGTGCAGGTGCCCTTGGAAGCCAGAGGCTCTCCTGGAGCTGGAGTTACAGATGTGAGCCACCTGATGTGGATACTGAGAACTGAACTTGGGTCCTCTACAACAGCAGTACATGTTCTTAACTGCTGAGCCATCTCTCCAGTTCCTTTTAAGTAAACTTTTAATTTTGAAGTAGTTTTAAACCTGTAGAAAAACTGAAAGTTAGGACAGAGAGTTCTTCCATACTCCTACCCAACATCCCCCATTGCTAGTACATCACATTACAATGGCGTATTTGTCAATACAAGGAGACTAACATTGGTTGTTACCAGTGTGATTCCTTCTAGTTTATGATGGAAGCCCACAGGGCCCAGTGGTGAAAGGCAAGGCCTGTTGTCTGCAATCAAATCTTGCCTGTAGTCTCAGTACTCAGGAGGCTGAGGCAGGAGGATCACCTTGAGCTGAAGCTAGTGTGGGCTACAGAGTGAGACTTGTTTCCATTTAATTTTTGCGTAAGGGGTGTTGGAGGGTGTCTTAGTTTGTTCTTCATTGCTGTGACAAAACACTCTGACCAGTACCAACTTGGGGAGGAAAGGGTTTATTTGTCTTACATCTCCCAGGTTGCACACAATTCATCAGGGAGCCCAAGGTAGGAACTCAGGGCAGGGACTTGGAGGCAGGAGCTGGAGCACAGGCCATGGAGGAACGCTGCTTACATGCTTGCTCCCTTGGCTCCTGCTCAGCCTGCTTTCTTATGCAACACAGGCCCACCTGCCCAGGGGTGGCACCACCCACAGTGGGCTGGGCCCTCCCACATCACTCCTCAAGAAGATGCCCTTCAGACATGGCCACAGGCCAGTCCAATAGAGGCAATTCCCTGATTGAGGCTCCCTCAACCCAGGTGTGTCAAGTTGACACTAAAGCTATCCAGCACAGAGGGTGGATGCAAATAATTCTTCCAAATAGTATTTGCATATGAGCTACAACTTTACTTCAACTCCTTTCAATCATTTTGATTCGAGATTTTCCAGGATAAAACAGCTCATACTCTCTAGTCATAAAACATGATCCACCAGATGATGCATGAATTGGGTCACAGAAGTAATTCTTAACACTTTTCAAAAAAACATAGTTGTTAGAGGAGATAAACAGAAAATCTAATTGCTAAGATGCATTATTCTTTTGAGGAACTATATCATGTGCATAGTTCAAAGAGTCTTAATAAAATAACATGGATTTGTATACACTGCAAATTTAACATACTTTTATCTATTATTTTAATTTTATGTGCGTAAGTTGCACTGCGTCTGTCACCCTACATTGGGACCACCTACAGCTCCTCCCACTGCTGCAGGGTTGGGATTCCCTGGCCTTTAGTAGGGGCCCAGACCTTTGCAAACTGCCTGAGATCAACTGAATCCAGCCTCCATGTAGCAAACTTCCCAAATTGTGCTGTGCCTGCTGATTAGAGGGGCCCAGACCTTAGGAGGAAAACTGAGAGCATCTGATTCTCACCTGACTTGGGCCTCTCTGGGAACTCCTGAGTACCTGGACTAGAGCCATTGGGTCCCTCAAATATAATATAAAATGAGAGAACCAAAAGCCTAGGCCAACCAGCTTTTCATACCCCCAAAAAGAAACAACAAAAGCACATCAGGTATACAAACAGAAACAGACTTAAACTCAACAAAGGAAGGCTTAAGTCCCACACCAGAATCATAAACAATGAAAGAAATCCACATGCCAAAATCACAATGGAAAAAAAAAAAAAAAAAAAAGGAAAAACCAAATGCTATGTCCCCACCAAACACCAACAGTTCTACAAGAATCCCCGAAAGATAACCCAGGACACAGAATTTAAAAGAACAATCATAAACATGATCAAAGAGTTCAATGAATTTAAAGAACACATAAACAAATCAAAGAACTAAAAGAAGACAATAAACTTCTGACTGAATTAACAGAAGTGATAGAAATATTGAAGAAAACTCAGGCTGAAATGAAGAAGGAAGTGAAACACTCAACAAACCAATTAGAAATGACAGGAGAAAGTCTTACCAACAGAATGAATGAAATGGAAAACAGAATATCAAGACTGGACAATAAAATTGACAAACTGGACCACTCAAGCAAAGGTTATAAAAAAATTTAAGAAAACACAAGAATGGAATATGCAGGAAATGTGGGACACCATGAAAAGACTGAATTTACACATAATAGGCATAGAGGAAGAAGAATCTCAGGATAATGGTATGGACCAGATCTTCAACAGGATTGTAGAAGAAAATTTCCCAAAATTAAAGTAAGACATGCCCATACAAATAGAAGAAGCACGTAGAACACCAAATAGGACCAGAAAAGAAACTCCCCATGGCGTATAGTAAAAACATTAAATGTACAGAACAAAGAGAGAATACTGAAAGCTTCAAAAGAAAAAGTCACATATAAAAGAAAACTCATCAGAATGACAGCTGACTTTTCAGTGCAAACTGTGAAAGCCAGAAGAGCCTAGACCAAAGTATTTCCACTTTTAAATGATCATAGATATCAACCCAGAATACTTTATTTAGAAAAAAATGTTTATTATAGTTGAAGGGGGAAGAAAAATGTTCCATGACATAAATAGGCTGAAAGAATTCATGTCCACAAAACCAGCCCTTCAGAAAATTCTTGAAGCGATACAAAGAGCTGAAGAAAGGAGTGATTATAACCAAGGAGCAGCTGAAAGAAATTAAATGAAGGTATAATTGTAGAAATACACAGTTAAACCAAGAATGCAAACAAAAATCAAAATGATGGGAACCAGTACTTTCAAAAATAACTTTAAATATCAGTGGACTGAATGCCCCAGTCAAAAGAGACAGGTTAGTTAAGTGGATTAAGAAACAAAAATCCATCTTTTTTATTGTCTGGAAGAAACCCATCTCACCTCCAAGGACAGGCAGTAATTTAAGGTGAAAGGATGGAAAAAAATATTCCAAGCAAATGGCACTAAGAAACAAGCAGGGGTTTCAATTCTAATATCTGACAAAATAGACTTCAAACTAAAACTAATCAGAAGAGATAAAGAGGGCCACTTCATTCTAATCAAATGAACAATTGACTAAGAGGATATTATAGTCATGAACATATATGCACCAAACTCTGGTGTATCCAACTTCATTAAAACAGTACTATAGGACTTTAAGACACAAATTAATCCCAACTCACAAATAGTAGGTGACTTCAATACCCCTCTGTCTCTATTAGACAGGTCAACTGGACAAAGAAGAAACAGAGAGATGTCTGAATTAAATGATACCACACATTAAATGGACCTAACAGACATGGCAGAAACTACCCAAATCAAGTATCACAGTAAGCATCATAAATGAGTCCAATGTCATCTGTGCCTGTGACACACTGAGGACCCAAAATTACTTCTGTATTCCTGTCACAATTCATAACCTTAACCTGAGCAGAAAAAAAATCTGATAAACCTGTCCTAGTTTCATTTCTGTTACTGAAAAAAAAAAAAAAAAAAAAAAAAAAAACTGACCACATACTAGGGAACAAAACAAGCCTCAACAAATGCAAAAAAATTGAAATAATTCCATGCATTTTATCAGACCACAAAGCAATAAAGCTTAAAATCAATGCTGGAAGAAGCCCTAGTAACTACATGAACTTATGGAGATTAAGCAACACACTCCTGAATGATGAATGAGTCAAAGGAGAAATTATGAAAGAAATAAAAGTATTCCTGGAACTAAATCAAAAGGACAACACAACACAACAAAACCTCTGGGACATTTTAAAAGTAGTCTTAAGAGGGACGTTTATAGCTCTAAGTGCCTACATTAAAAAATAAGAAAGAACACAAATGACTTAACATTGCAACTCAAGACACTTGAAAAGCAACAACAAATGAAACCCAAACCTAGCAGACAAGAAGAAATAGCAAAAATCAGAGCAGAAATGAATGAACTAGAAAAAAAGGAAACAATAGAAAAACACAACGAATTTAAGAGCTGGTTCTTTGAAAAGCTATAAATAAGATGGACAGATCCTTAGGTCAGTTAGCTAAAAGAAAGAGCAACTCCTAATCAACAAAATCAGATGAAAAGGGAAACATCACAACAGACACCCAAAAGATCCAGAACATTATAAGGGAATACTTTAATACTTTAAAAACCTATACACTATTAAATGTGAAAACTTAAAAGTAATGGAGCTTTTTTCCGCGCTCCCGGGGATGCGAGGCATGCATGTGGCCTGGCGGGGCAGCTTGCATGGCAGTCGGCGTGGTGGGAGCAGCTGTTCCGAGTGGCGCAGGCCGGGCCTGTTGCCGCCCTCTTCCGGGTACAGCAAAGCCCGTCTGTTTTGAAGATGGAACATGTCATAGAAGGTGATTGAAAAGGCCACATAGGACCACAGTTACATGAAACAAGGTACTAAATGTTGCATCTGCTTTTTTTTCTTGTGGTGCTTTATAATAAAGTAGCCAAAATGTGACATTCTGGACACTGGCTTCATAGGTGGCACAATGATGACCTAAAGTTTTGCCGTTTACCCAGTTGAGGACTTCTTTGAAGAAGTAATCTTAAGACTGAGGTGCCAGTAAATTAAAAAAAAAAAAGTAATGGATGTGTATCTAAAATCATGGGAAGGACCAAAGTTAAACCAAGAAGAGATCAGCAGCTTAAACTGATCCATAATATATAAGGAAATTGAAACAGTATAGAAAACTTCCCAACTAAAAAAAGCCCTGGCCCAGATGGATTCACAGCACAATTCTATCAGACATTTAAAGATATATATCCAATACTACTTAAATTATTCAGAAAGATAGAAACAGAGGGAGAACTCCCAAATTCCTTCCATGAAGCCAGCATCACTCTAATACCAAAACCAGGTAAAGACACAACCAAAAAAGAAAACTATAGACCCATATCCTTAATGAGCACAGAAGCAAAAATTCTCAACAAAATACTTGCAAACTGCATACAGGTACGCATCAAAAAGATCATTCACCATGATTAAGTTGACGTTATTCCAGAGATGCAGTGATGGTTCAGGATAGATAAGTCAGTAAACATCATCAATCATATAAATGGACTCAAAGTCAAGAACTGTGTGGTCATCTCAATAGATGCAGAGAAGGCCTTTGACAAAATTCAGCATGCATTTATGTTCAAAGTCCTAGAGGGAATTGGACTGGAGGGAATTGGACTGGAAGGAAAACACCTCAACATAATTAAAGCTGTATACAACAAACCCACAGCCAGCATCATTCTAAATGAAGAAAAACTAGACACATTCCCATTGAAATCAGAAACCAGACAAGGATATCTACTATCTCTACTCTGTTTTAATATAATGCTTGAAACTGTTGCTAGAGCAAAAAGAAAAGGAAATAAAGGAGTACTAATTGGAAAGGAAGAGGTCAAATTATTATCCCTTTGTGCAGATTATATGATATTATACTGAAGAGATGTCAAAATGCCATGAGAAAACTCTAGAAATGGTTAGCACTTTCAGTAAAGTGGCAGGTTATAAAATTAATCTACAAAAATCAGTAGTCTTTCTATATACCAATAACAAGCAATTGGAGAAAGAGTACATAAAGACCTCTACAATGAAAAAAAAATTTTGAGACAGGGTCCCCCTGTAGCCTCAGCTGACCTGGAACTCTCTATGTAGACCAGGTTAGCATGAACTCACAGAGATCTGCCTGCCTCTGCCTCCTGAGTGCTGGGATTAAAGGTGTGTGCCACTACACCTGGCTGGAATGAAAAATTTAAATCTTTTTAAAAAAAAAATTATGTATATGACTGTGTTGCCTGCATGTAAGTGCACCTGTGTCATGCAGAGCCAGCAGAGGTCAGAAGAAGGCATTGGATTCCCTGGAACTGGATTTACCGATGGTTGTTAGCCACCATGCTGAGATTCGAACCCAGGTTCTCTGCAGGAGCAAGAGCATTCAGTGCTCTTGACTGCCAAGCCATCTCTCCAGCTTGAAAATTTTAAATTTTTAAAGAAAGAGATGGAGGAAGGCATCAGAAGATGGAAGGACTGCCCATTCTCATGGATTTGAAGTATTAATATTTTGAAAATATTAATTAAAAAATAAAGCCATCAATAGATTCAATGCAATGCGAATCAAAATCCCCATGACATTCTTCACAGAATTAGAAAAAAACATGCTAAAATTCATATGGACGCACAAAAGACCCTGGATATTGAAAGCAACCCTGAGCAATGCTGGGGGATTGCTATACCAGATTTCAAACTATATTACAGTCATTAAAAACAGCATGGTACTGGCACAAAAATAGACCCCGTAGATCAGTGGAACATAATTGAAGACCCAAACATGAGTACATGCAATTTCAGCCACCTGCTATTTGACAAAGGGGCCAAGAACACACAATGGAGGAAAGACAGCATGTCCAGCAAATGGTGCTGACAAAACTGAATCTACATCTGTAGAAGAATGAAACTTTCACCTTGCACAAGTGTCAACTCCAAATAGATCAAAGATCTCTATATGAAGCCTGAAACTCTGAAACTATTAGAAGAAAACATTGGCAATAATCTACAAGATATAAGTGTAGGAAAAGACTTTCTGAATCGGACATTAATTGCTCATAAATTAAGGTCAAGAATCAACAAGTGGGACCTCATTAATCTAAAAAGTTTCTTTACAGCAGCAGAAACAACCAAGGAAGTGAAGAGAAAACCCATAGAGTAGGAGAAAATCTTCACCAGTGTCATCTGACAGAGGTTTTTAACCTCCAGAGTATATAAAGAACTCAGAAAACAAAGAATCAAAAATGCAAATGACTCAAATAAAAGTTAGGCTAAGGATCTGAGCAGAGTTCTCAGAAGAAATAAAGCTGTCTAAGAAGCATCTTGAAAGATATTCAACATCATTAGGAATTAAGGAAATGCAAATTATAAGATTTCATCTTGCCCCAGTCAGACTGGCTAAGATCAAGACAACAAATGATACCAAACGTTGGAGAAGATGTGGGGAAAGGGGGACACTCATCCACTGGGGGTGGGGCTGCAAACTGGTTCAACCCCTATGGAAAGCAGTATGGAGAACTCTTAAAAAATTAAAAATGAACCTACCATTTGACCCAGTTATACCACTCCTTGGCTTATACTCAAAGGACTCATCTTATTGCACAGACACATGTACATCCATGTTTGTTGCTGCCCTTTTCACTATAGCTGAAAGATGGAAGCAACCTAAGTGTCCCTCAACTGATGAGTGAATAATGAAAATGTGGTTCATTTACACAGTGGAGTTCTACTCAGCAGTAAAGAAAGATGAAATCATGAAATTTGCAGGTAAATTGATGGAACTAGAAACTGTTATACTAAGTGAAGTAACACAGACTCAGAAAGACAAATGATGTATGTTCTCCCTCATATGTGGATCCTACCATGAAATCCTTATAAGTGAGCATGTATCCAGACATAACCACAGAAACCACGATAGTGAAAAGGAACCAGGGAGGTAAAGGGAAAGAAAGAACCTGAGAGAGAAGAGCAACAGGAAACAGGTGTTACTAAGGGAGAAATGAATAAAAATGGGGTTATTGGGGCTGGAGAGATGGCTCAGCGGTTAAGAGCACTGACTGCTCTTGTAGAGATACCAGGTTCAATTCCCAGAACCCACATGGTGGCTACGAACTGTCCTTAACTCCAGTTCCAGGGGAATCCGATGCCCTCTTCTGACCTCCGTGGCATTGCATGATACGGATGCGCTCACATACATGCAGGTAATACACTCATACACATAAAATAAAAATAATAAAATATATTTTTTAAATGGGGTTATTTAAATGGGGGTAGTTATACAAGGAAGCTTGGGGGTAAAGGGAAAGAAGGAACTCAAGATAGGTGGGACCTTAGGAGAAGGGGCTTATCAAGGGAGAAATGGGGAAAATGGGACACTTTAAATGGGAAACCATTGCAGCAGAAGGGATAGTCCAGAAGTCAAGTTTTAGAGAGAGAGAGAGAGAGAGAGAGAGAGAGAGAGAGAGAGAGAGAAGAGATAAATAATGCCTTGCTAGTTTAAGAAAACCAGAGGGAATCAATATTAGTCGAAAAACTTAAGGGCAAATTTCATGAACAGTATCTCTATATGAGTCCAAGTATGTAACTAAAAGCTATATAACAAGAAACAGTGCCAGACAGGAAAAAACCTTCCTTTGAGTTATTGGCTAGGGTGGTCGAAGAGATCCCCCCAAATTACACAAGCTATTACCACAGCCCTTGATTGCCTTACAGAACTTGAAGGTAAGACCCTACTGCTGAACACAGAACATATTTTGGACACAGGATTTGTAGCAGTGAACCTGGACTGACCTGGAATCCACTTCCCCTCAAAGCGAGCTCTTATAGCTTTGGAGAACACTATGAAGGTGCCAAGGGAAAACATCAATCGATGGTCCAACACTAGCCTCAAGACCAAATAACCTCATCAGTGGCCAGACAGCATATGACGTTGGTGCATACTTTCATCTTGGGGGCAATCAGCAGATACCTAGTTGGAGTAAAAGCCCACTCAATGAAAGGAATCTCAAGGAAATTGTGGTACTGTAAACATAACCAAATACACATGACTGGAGAGATCATAGATCTTAGAGAAAACCCTAAGCCTGTCACATCCCTAGACTAATGTAATTTCTTACTATGTGCAAAATATATATCCTTATATCTACAGACAAATATCCCAGTTGCTACTCATCAAAGAAGCTTCTTTTGCACCAGATGGAGACTATTACCAAGTACCACAACTGGTCACACACAGGCATTGTCTATGAATTGCCCAAGTCTAGGTTACACATCTACAATGCAACCTCTATACCTAAGGCTCATGGAACATAGAACAGGGGTAAAGAGGTCACTAATAAATCTCTCAATTCTCATTAATGAAGCTCCCTCATGCAACAGAAGTCTAGGAACACAAAAGGTCAGAAATGGCCAAAGCATAGAGATTGAGAGTCTGCAGAATGCTAGTTCTTAGACAAGACTCCTGTATTAAACCTCACTGACCCAGTGCTCAGTAAGCATTGCAGAAGGTGATGGTGGTGGGGAGATTGTAAAAGCCAGGGAGGAGGTGCACGACCGTATGGAAATAGAGTCCTACAAGCTTCTGGGACCCTGCTCATATGAATCTACAGCAGTGGTGTCAGTGTACACAAGTCCCATGCAAATTCAAGTAGACAAAAACCCAGAATAGAACTGAAGAAATTGACATCAGACCCCAATCTTAGCTGAAGAAATATTGGCAATTAATTACTGCTGGGTGAGGAAGAGCTGATTTTCCTAAAGCAAGGGATTCTAGATAGGCTGACTACACCTCAGTAGCTGAACTTGCATTGAGGAATGTCTGGGGACACTAACTTTACACAATAGGTCTTAACACAAATGACAGAATATATGAATTATGGGAGGGTGCCAGTGGGGCAGGAGTATAAAGATAATTAAGACTAATTGAGATATTTTGTATGGAATACAGAAAAATTCAATAAAAACAAATAAAAAAATAAAGAGGCACTCCATTGATAATAGGGAATCCTGTTTTCTTGAGATTATAGGAAGA